AGCCCATGTAGTATAATATTTTACAAATGATGAATTACAGCAAACATGTGCAATATATCCATTATTACAGCTCCGTGGGCTGGCAGTAAGGCGATATGGGTCCGTTCTTATTGTGCATCCATGGGTAAAGATAAACGCATGTAGTGCTGAACACGTAACATGAACGTGCCGGGCGGCGCGGTCCCGTGGGTTAGATGCGCGTTCATAATGCAGAGGGAAATAACTCTCAGAATAACGTTATTAGCACATTTTACAACTTGAGGAACGAATGTTTTTAATAAGTGTTCATACTGGGTAGTTTATTTAGTTTAAAAAAAATTATCCAACGATTTACAGACCACTCTTTCCCCATGTAAGTCAATGGGAAAAAGTGTTTCCGGGCCTGGCAACCAAAAGGAAGTGTAGTACCGCCGTTTGGCCAGCACGAATATTTTCATCAGAGTCCGGCGCACTTCCTGGGGGCTTGATGACACCAGACCAATCAGAGAGTTGCATGGAAATAAATGTGTGCTTGTGTCATTCAAGCTCGGCTCTGTGTGTGTGTGGCAATAGCGCATTTAGTGTGATAGAGAGAGAGAGGGGGAGAGAGAGAGAGAGAGAGAGAGAGAGGGGGAGGGAGGGTCCGGTGTCAGCATGGACCGTGTTGTTAGCATCTGGTTAGCTAGCTGCACTAACGGACATAAGGAGCTGTTTGTTCCACAAGAAGCTGGAGGAGAGTCCTCTCCTCTCAGACTGAGAGACTCAGGTGAGCTAAAGGACTCTCTGAGTGTTTAGACACTTAACTTTAGTCTAAGTTATCTCAGTGGGTCTCAAACGGTTTGGTCACAAATTATTCAAAAGATTATTTACGCGGCACACCTTCATATGATCATTAAAGTTATAAAAAAAATAAGAGAATAAAGGAGAAACAGTTATGAAATACTATATGGCAGTAAAACAAGAATAGAGTTTAAAAGGGGAGTGATTAGTAAAATATCCATAAAGAAAAAGTACATCTGTTTACAGTTCTGCTTCATATGGGTGTTGAGAGAGGTATCCATAGATCTCTTCATTTTGCTCTCAAAGTGCACCAGATTGATGCATTTAACTTCAATATTTAAAAAAAAATCTTCCCGGGGGAGCATCCCCCCGGACCCCCCTAGAGGAGGTGAGTCCCCCACTCATAAAAAATACCACTTTACCCCTGCTTATATGCCGTGAGCTGATTATCGAGCCTTCATTGTAACAGTCGCGGGTGTACTGTGTGGGGAGTGTTGCAGTGAAAAATGCCACTGTCGTGCCGCCGCCACTGTGGGCTAAGCCCTGAATGTTTTCAGGTCCAGGCGACGCCCCTGGTCCACAGTGTTAACATGTAGAAAACAAGTTAACTTAGAGGCCGTTTTATGATTACCCTGTCAGTGTGCTGTTGAGTCAGCTATTTAGCTAGCAAACATTAGTTGGGTGATTCTCTGAATCGGGTGCCGATTTTAAATGAAAGGATTAAAAAAAAGTTTACAGTTTTTCTCAATTGCTAACACACATTTCTTTACGCATCACTCATTCACCAATGGGTAATGTTTACATGGATTTTAGGAACTTCCCCTCGATTCTATTGGCTCTAACGGTTAAAAAGAGGTGTCAATCATCAAAATCGACCAACGGGGTCCAGAGATATGGAAAATGCACCCAAATGACCCCAGAAGTGTTTTTTTTCTTCTAAATCTCTCAAAAAATATCAAATGTAACTTATTTTGCATAAATCTTGATACAGGGTACTTATGATATGTTATAGTTTGGCAGTGGTGAGCCGTGACTTTTGTCCCTTCCCTCGAAAAAAAAAAAAAAACGCATCAATAGCCGCGTTCACACCGGAGTACTTTTCACCGTACTTTTCGCGTTTAGTTCCGTTAGTACCCCTTATGTCGCGTTCACACCAAAAAGAGCACTAAATCCCGGGAACTTTTACCCCCATTTTTAGTGCCTGCTGAGAGATGGTACTTTCCTTGTAGAGCCGCCATTTTATTATCCTCGCATTAGCATTATTAGCATTAGCATTCACCCAGCGCACAAACGCAGAGAGACTAACTTATGGCAACAAAAAATAAAACATGGGAGCGGTGGAGATGAGGAGGTGTCGGCGTTCTGGCGATTTACTCAGAAGGCTTCAGTAGAAGCTGCTGGGAGTCCCAGCAGCTTCTACTGAAGCCAGTCCCCGACTCCGGGGACTTCCGGCCGGGGACTCCGGGTGGCAGTATACGCCGTGAAGTTGTTTGCGGCCTGCCAGTAAACCCAAATCAGAAGAAGACGAAGTGACATCAGCGGCTCATTTGCGTAATCTTCCCTCAGGGAATTTATTCCGGTGTGAATGCGATCTGTACTAAGTGCCCTGGGGTAATAAGTGCCGGGGCACTGAGTGCCGGCACTTAGTACGGCAAAGTACTTGGTGTGAACGCGGCTAATGACAGCGACCCTCTATCACACAAAACAACACCATTTATATAAACACCTATCTTGACAGGGCAACCACAGCCAAGTAACAATTAAAAATGAATTAAGTCGGCACGGCGGCCCACATTGAAAATTGCTTAGGCCTACCTTTGATGATCAAATCACTTAAACACAAAGTCCATCCTCCTGTCCTTTTGGATGAAGCACTTGATGGCGGGGTCATGCAGCTGATCCTTTGCCACTCCAGTTTATCATTGTAACTCAATCTTGAAAATGACTCGGTTAATAATTTCGCAACGATGTCATCACTATCATAAGCCATCATGAACAAACTTATGCTAATAAAAAAATATAAAAGTAGGGTAGACATGTGGATATTATCCGGCTGAACAAAACGTGCATTTATCTAACAGGTTCATTTTCCACAGACCTTATTTCGAGCTATTTTCCAAAATCCTATGGACAAATCCCATTGCTTTTTTGTCGAGGGAACCCATGCGCAGCTTACTTCCGGGTTTTAGGACGCATCACTGCACCACTATAACACACATGCATCAACTTCACAGCGGGCGGAACTTGTCATCACGTCCACGAAAATAAAGCCCACCCATTTAGAGGGAAGATATGATTTGTCAATTATACTGTCATTTGATAATACTCTCTCGTTGGGTTACTATAACGGGCCCTCTGTGAATTTACAGCTGGACCACCAATCAGCTCCTATCTTCACAGTAACTCGCAGAGACGAGCTTCTTTCATTTAACCCTTCACATTCTAACAGAAACTGAACAGGCAGATTCTAAGGATTTATTTATTTGGAAATATCATTTTAAATACAATTAAATCAAGTTATTTTGTTAAAACTAATGAAAAATATAACTATAATTGTTTTATTTTCAGAGAGGGCCGAGAGGGCCCCGACGGCTTGCCACTGTAGTTTGGATTCCGAAAGCTTTTAGTCTACTATCCCATCATTCAAGGGTGGTTTTCACTATAAGTAATGGACGGACACTATAGTTTAAATGTTTTATTATGTTCAATCTGAATTTACTTTAAAATATAAAAAACATCTATATTGATTCTGACTTTTCTACATCCAACTCACAGGTTTATCATTGCTTTGAGAAAAAAGATTATTCATTTAGCCCTTTTAGAAGTGAAGATATAGTCAATTGTTCTGGGAATGTCATTTTCGAACCTGAGGCCTGAAAAACAGGCTCAGGGCTCAACTGGTTAACTTTCTTCCTCTTTATTTCTGTACTGCGCTCATGTAATTACGAAATAACAGTTTAGATGATCAGATAACATAAACACTGAATCCTCTTCAGGTCAGTCAACCACCCAGACCGACAGCACAGTCAGGAGTATACAGTACAGTCGCGAGTTCTTGCTGGTCAAGAAAATAACAACAAACCAAACGCTACGCTTGCAGAGGAACTTAGCGGCCTCGGAATACTCTGCCCGACCACGCCGTGGAGCGCTACCCCCAAGCTGAAAAGGAGACACCGCAGGCGGTGTGAGAGGAAGCAGAAGAGGGGTAAGCGCGGAGGCTAGGCTACACAGGCCCGCTATTCCGAGCATTCACATGGCAAATGTACGCTCTCTGAACAATAAAATGGACAACATAAGACTTCTCTGGTCGACCCAGAGTGAGTTGAGAGAATGCTGTGTGTACGTTTTCACAGAAACATGGCTAAGTGATAACATCCCGGACTCTGCCATCCAGCTCGACCGGCTAACATGCTACCGCTCAGACAGAGCTATGGTTAGCGGGGGGGGGAAGACTAGGGTTGCATATCATTGATGCTTTTAAGATACCGATACTGATACCGCTACCACTGAACGATACCGATACTCGACCGATACATATCGTGAGACTTTCATGTTTGATAAGGGAAAAATTGAATCATCCCGCAATTACTCCCATGAAGCGCTTTATGATATAGTTAACATGTCAAATGAATATTACATTCAATTGTGGGTCTTCAACCTTTTAGTACTGAACAAACAATGAAAAACACGTTTGACAACACGGGCTTGAAGACTGTACATTCCTGTACTCTAATTTTATATGACAGTAGCAAATGTTTTGAGAGGTTGGATGTGTTGCCGCCTTTCCCAGAAATAAACTTCTTGCAGTGGTTACAGACCCCACCATTCAGAGTGGCAGTCATATGCAGCCACACTTTAGATTTTCGTGCCGACATCGAGCTAATGTAAAAACGAAAGCCAACTGAAAGGCTCAGACGTTCGGGAGGAAGGTGAAGACCGTTGCTTGGCAATCACGGCAATCAGCGAAGTCGTTGCAAGACGCGCAATCTCAACAATATGGCACGGCCCACACTCCACAGTGACTCATTTGTGGAGTTTCACGGCAAAATTGAGATCGTCGTTTTCGACGGTTTGGGCGCAAGTTTAAGGATATTTAACCTCACTTTATTAAAAAATGTAAAGATTAATTAGAGTATCGAAAACCTGATCTGATTTTGGTACGGTATACCGTAGCCGCCAGTAACCGGTATTTCAGTAATACCGGGTACTGGTATGCACCCCTAGGAGAAACAGACTCTTACTTTGTTTCTGAGGGTCCAGGTTGATCCCTGAAGTCCAGAAGTCTGTCTGTAGACCGGTCACTCTTCAGAGACAGACAGCTGGGGACTGGAGACTCTGCTCTCCGTCTGCAGAAACAGAAAATGTTTTACACACATCATTGGATTTTGAAAAGAGCAGCTGAACCTGATTAAAGATTTTTGGACTTGCTCTGAACTTTCTGTTTTTGAGTCATGCTTGCAGGTTTCAGTCTTTACAATTCATTTGTGAGGATCAATAGTTTGACATGTTTGTATTTTATTCACTTAACTTAACACAAAGTCCTACATTCCGAGTGTCAGAAGGATTTCACTAAAGTAGTTTATTTTCTGTCGCTGATGAAGCCAAGGAACCAAGGAAGAAGATCTTCTTTACTTTTCTCTAATGCATTTCTTTAGTGTACTTTACTGTGTTTCTTTAGAGTACTCTTCTGTACTTTACTGTGTTTCTTTAGAGTACTCCCTTCATTCTTGTGCCAGGCTCAAACCACCATGCAAAACGTATCAAGAGAGTTCAGGTCAGTTTGAAGGAGAAACAGACTCTTACTTCTGGTCTGAGGGCTGTGGTTGATTACTGAATGCTGGAGGTAAGTCAATAGACCCGTCACTCTTCAGAGACAGAGAGCTGGAGACGGAAGATGTGTCCTCCTCCTCATCTTTTGAATCACTCATCTTCTCCAGTCTGACAGATGCACCAGTAACACTGCAGACACACACACACACACACACACACACACACACACACACACACACACACACACACACACACACACACACACACACACACACACACACACACACACACAATTTTGCATTACAATTGAATAAAAAACATCATAATGACAAACCTTGGTTTCAATACAACACATAAGTCAGACTTCTCACAGGTTGCTCATGTAACTATCATAGGAGGCCGTGGCTCAGTGAGGGAGTGCGCTGAACTTCTGATTACTGCAGTCCAAGGTTCGAGTTATAATCTGAGCTTTATGGGGGTCTTAAAAACTAATGCACGAGCATATGCGTGCAAGCACACACACACACACACACACACACACACACACACACACACACACACACACACACACACACACACACACGCACGCACGCACGCACGCACACACACACACACACACACCACACACACAGCAGCAGCCCTCTACTTGCTACAAACTTAAATATGAAACGGTTCAACTACGCACACCACATAATAACACATCATCTCGGCTCGCACAGCACGCTCACAGGCATAGATTGCGCAATAATTTATTGCGCACCTTGGAGGTGAAGTGCAGGCATATTGAAAAAGTCACACTTGACTCTAAGTTGCTGATTTTTTATCAAGTCTGTAAAAACTGTTTTTTTTTTACATAGGCCTACAGTATAACAGAGTAATAATAGAGTGACCAACACTCACCCTGTTGCTCCTGCTCTGTCGAATTGTAAAATGGAGTCTGGCTTCATCACTATCACCTGTCCCTCCCTGTCTGCAGCCCCTCCCTCTGTTCATCAGCAGCACTGGGAGAAGTACTCAAGGTTCAAGGTTCAAGGCTTTTATTGGTCATACGTGCATAGCTACAGTGTAGTTATGACGATGAAAATCTTAGGTCACAGGCTCCTCCAACAGTGCAACACAATAAAACAGATAAACAGAAAAAAATAGTGCAAGTAAATAGTAAATACAAAAGGAAAAATAGTTAAAAAGTGAAATAGTGAAATAGTGCAAGTGATTGGAATGATTATATTATGTTATGATGTTGTTTCAAGTTCAGGTGTTTAATAGTCTTATGGCCTGGGCTTTCTTCCTGAGCCGCTGGGAGTAAAGGTCCTCCATGGATGGCAGCTCCGTCCTGGTGATGTTTTCTGCAGTTTTCACCACCCTCTGTAAAGCCTTACGATTGAGGGCGGTGCAGCTGCCGTACCAGGCCGTGATGCAGCCAGTCAGGATACTCTCTATGGTGCACCTGTAGAAGTTGCAGAGTATCCTGGAGTCCATATTGAACCTCCTCAGCCTGCGGAGTCTGTCTGCGCGCGCGTGAAAAGCTTCTGACACTTTGGGGCGGAGCCACTGGACTTTGATTGACAGCTGCCAGGAAGCCCGGAGTTGCCAGGTTTGATCATTACCTGAACTACCAAGAGCCGAGGAGTGACAGCAGCAAGATTAGTTGGACGAGATTTAATGATAAAGTTGTCCATAAAAAACTATTATATTAGTAAAGTGTACAATCAATATATATATATCAATTAATTTGATATGAAACAATATATTTTTGAGTGGGCTGTATCTGTCGAAAACTGCTAGCTACTGTCTGCTGAAGAAAATGAATGTCCACAGTGTTAACATGTAGAAAACAAGTTAACCTAGAGGCCGTTTTATGATTACCCTGTCAGTGTGCTGTTGAGTCAGCTATTTAGCTAGCAAACATTAGTTGGGTGATTCTCTGAATCGGGTGCCGAATTTAAATGAAAGAAAGAAAAAAAAGTTTACAGTTTTTCTCAATTGCTAACACACATTTCTTTTGTAATTGCTCAGTTTCTCAGAACACTAAACACAATTCACAAATCCACACACCAAAAGTGCAAAACACCCGACCTGGGCACTCTGGGGTCCTTAATTGTGGGCTTGAAGTTGTTACGTACCTTGTCACACTAAGGGTTTAGAAGGCTGGCAATAAGAATAGCATAAACTAAAATGTTTGTTTGGGTTATGTGTGCAATGTTTTATTATATCTGATTATTTACTCGTATACTGTCTATTATCGTCATTATTTTTGTTGTATGTGTTTATTTTGGTCTATTTCTATTTTTTTCATTTATTTTACTTGTATTTATATATTTTTTATATTTTATTTCTATGACCATTCATTTATTTTTGTCGTATGTTTGTTTATTCACTGGGGAAAACCACCTGGAGGAGGACGGGGGTGGGATTTGGGGGGTTTGCAACTTTTTGTCAGAAATGTTGGACATACTGTATTTGTGAAAAACTGAGAAAAAAAAGTTGTTAAAAGAAAAGTGCAAAACACCTAATTTCTCCTGCTAAATGAAGAACTGCACTCAAAACTACATAAACACTTACCAAATGCAAACTTTTTCACCAAATATAACACACTTCATTCATAATACTAGATTGTTTGAACACCGAACTACACACTGCTGAGCGTAATCTAAAGCACTTTCATCTTGTATGGGCTATGCTCTGTACATAGAGGTTTCTGCAGAGAAAGATTGCTTGAGTATACAGAAACACAGAAAATGAAGAAATACAAATGAGTTGTTGAAAAAAATCATATTTTATTCAAAAATAACATTGTGCAACATGCATCTCAGCACATATTTACTATGCTTCGGATCTCTCTAAGTGTGATGGCATTGTTTGCCAAAACCCAGTTTGTAACTGCTGCTTCCTGTGCCTCTCTGAAAATCCTTAGCGTTCCTCCTGCACCTCTTTTTTTCTCAGTCCTTCAGATAAACAACAAAGACATCGTGGTTGGTCAGTGTGTGTGTTCCATAAAAGTAAGTTTACCACAGTAAATTGTGCAGGATTTTTGTACAGTTATAGTATGCAACATGCCAACAATTCAATTACAGTAATGAAATAAATACGTTTCACAAAACAGATATAAGCACTGATATATCATGAATTATGCAGAGCTACTGGTAACTAACCTGTGTTCAAGTCTAAGTGTCCAGATTACAGAGGCAACAGTACATCGGCTTAGATTAGGCTGAAACCTCTGTCCAGCCTCTCTCATCGTCAAACCATGGTTGACAACATTTCATTTCATTAGGAGTATTCTTCTTTGTCCACGTCCTCTCCCTCCAGCTCTACCTCTACCTCTCATTCTTCCTCCTCTCACTCTCACCCACCTCTTCCTCCTCCTCTCACTCTCAGCCCAGCTATTCCTCTTCCTCTTGCTCTTGCTTCCATGTTGGCTTCCATTGTTGCTGTAAGAAAGTTCTCACCTGTGGTCTTTTTATAGTGCTAACATCCTGATTGATGAGCCAACAATTATGCTATCAGGTGTTTGGTCAGGTGGAACGTGTTTCTTGATCATTGGTCCATGTGTGAGGCATTTTGAATATCAGTGTTTGAAACCAGCTAACACGTGACTTTATGTCAGATTCCTGTGTCTTACGTGGAGAAATGTGTGCAGTGGTTTGCAAAAAGTGCCATGTTGATTTGCAAATTGTGTGAAAAGCTGAAAACGTGTTTAGAGTTTTGGAGATTTGAGCTGATGTTTTGCTCTTTGAGTGTCACTTAAAATAATTGTGCTTTATGTATAATTTGAGTGTGTTAGTGTGGCACCCCTGGGATGTGTGACCACATTAATATAATTATTATTATTATTTAGAGTTAGAATATGCCTTTACTTTGTACATCTGTCTATTTTCATTTAATTAACGGGGTTGAGCAATGCATTTAGTAGTATGGCGGAACGTTTGTGTTCCGGGGACTGGTTAGAGGGACGGACTTCCGGTGTTTCCTCAGAAGCAATCTGGAAGGAAACCACGGCCCAATCCCAAACCACTCCCTCGACCCTACCCCTCCGTGACGGAGTGAACTCCGTCTGTAGCCACACTCGCAGCTCAACGAGGCTCCCTCCTGTCGGATGGAGGGAGTAAATACAGCGGCAAGCTTTGGGACGGCCTCCCCTTTCTCCGGCAGAAACAGGAAATGCCGTAACTGTATGTAATAACGGTTTCAAATCAGCATCTCTTAGACAAAAAATGTAAATTAATAACTCAAATAAAACTCCAAACATCTTTAATTGTGTTACTTTTTTGTAAAGCTCTTTTAGTTTTAAACCTGATGTTTATAAGCTTCTTAGTTTTTGCAACAGTCTGTATATTTACACAACTTTATAATAAAATGCACACATTTACCTTTTTCTAGACTAACCACATGTACGATCCTAAGTTAAAAAAATATGAGGTTATCATGAGGTTGTTAACATCGCAGTTTATCAGTGGATGTTTGCTGGAACTACTTTTTAACAGCGTGTTTCCTGATGGACACACACAGCGTGACTCCGGTCAGGTAGAGACCGATCTCAAGTCAGCACCGCTGCAGACTCGCTGTTTGAGGGCTTGATAGCCCACTCCCTCTCCACACCGCTCCACACTCGTTGGTTTGGAACAGCACTTAATGTGGCGGACCCTCCGCGCGAACGCGCAAATGGAAGGGTAGTGTGTAGGGGTAGGGTGTAGGGGGTGGTTTGGGATTGGGCCCAAATAACCCGTGTCCTCATTGCTCCTGTCTCACCTGCTCATTACAGGTTGGTAAAAGGTGCAAAAATCATATGAACCCCCCCATAATGTTCGCGTATATGGTGTGACGGCCCACTAAAGTTTGTTTGTTTGTAGCCTTTATTTAACCAGGTTAAAAAATCCCATTGAGATCAACGATCTCTTTTTCAAGGGAGACCTGCGGTACATTAGTTACACATAAAAACAACAGAAAACAAAAGGACATCACAACATAATTACAGGGGTATACATTAGCAACCTATTTACAGTGACAGGTATTCAATAACATTTCATCCAGCCGTGCTTTAAAACGATGCAAGGGAATCAAAATGCTCAGTTTCAATGTTTTTTGCATAGTGTTCCAAGCTAGAGGAGCAGCGCACATAAAAGCTTTAGTACCTAGAACAGTCCTAGCACTTGGCACATGTAATAAGAACACATCCTGGGATCT